AGTGAAGCTGACCCCCCACCCACAGAGAAAGAAAAAAAGGCAGTAATTATTGATAAGGTAACCATGCTGTAGCTTCACCTGTCGCATTTTCTTTTAAAGAAAGAAAAAAGTAGCTTGCAAAGCTGTCGCATCGGTGCTACGTGATTAAAAACATAGTTTTCATTGCCATCTAATCACACACACACATCTTCCTATCTTTGTGAGGATCACACAGCGCTCAGCCTCGCTCTGCGCCGTCTATTTCCCCAAGTTTGGTGAGAGGTGGATATGGAGGGTCGCAAAAAAATAGCTCTCGACTTGATCTGGCCTTATTTAAATAAAAATGACTACATGCTGTGAAATTCTTAGAGGGGTGGGCCGTCTCGTTGGCGGGGGCGGGGGCGCCCCACCTGTATAATGGTAGAGGAAACACTGCATAACCATCAGACAGCATCTACAAGTGAAGGACTGTAAGACCAAGGTGTGAATTAAATTTCTTCTAGTTTTAGGGTCSTGTAGGTACTTCAGTGGTTAGTTTAGGGTAAATGTTCAGGGTTAGAAATGACCAGTAAATGAATGGAAGTCAATGGGAAGTCCCCACTAGTATCTGAAGGGGGTTACTAATGTTAGGCCACTTATCCTTTGGCTAAAGTTGATGCTCCTGGTCCAGAAGTAGTAGAACTTTTAAAAGGCTGGAAGACAAGGTGCTAGGTTCTGTTGGCAGGGATACTGAAATGAAGCATTTTACAAAATTATGTTGTCATTTTTGTCAAAATAAAAGGTTAATGYTTGAAAACAGAAGTAGTGTAGTTAACACTTATTAAATAATGTATATGCTTTATTTTTTATCATTAGTTTCCCACAGTCAGACAGAAAGGCCTCACATGAGTTGATGGTTCAGTATTTAGGTTGTATAAACAGGAGTTTTGTTGGTTCTTTTTCCTAAACATTTACTGCAGGACGTCTGTCCTGGTTTMTTTGTTTTCTGTTTGTTTATTTTACTCATTTGTTGATGATCATTTTTGTAATTGTCTCATCTGATCTGCGGCCTTATGTCTTGGACACTCAGGTGAAGAGAGGGGCGGAGCTTTAACTGATCACCACCTGGTGGTGAGTTGGATCAGGTAACAGACCTGGTAAACACAAACATCTAGTGAGGGTGAATTGGGAACGTTTGGTAGAGTCCCTTGTCTGTGTGATCTTCAAGTCTCAACTCCAGGAGAGTTTTTCACATGTCCCGGGCTAGTCTGGGGACTTGGAGTCTGAATGGACCATGTTCAGGGCCTCCAGTGCAGATCCAGATTCCAGGAGCTGAGGCCTGATGATCATTTGTGCCTGTAGTGATGACAACCAAAAACTCACTATTAGACACCAGTGGTGATGGAAGCCATCAGTCTGAAGAAGGAAGCTTTCAGGACTTGTCTTTCCCAGAGGTCTCAGGGAGCAGCTGACAGGTACAGGGTAACCAGAAGGACGGCAGCTTCAGTGGCTGCAGATGCAAAAACTCAGGCATGGGAGAAGTTCAGGGAGGCCACAGAGAAGGACCTTTGTTTGG